GACAGCAGCGAGAGCACGAGGAACTCGACCAGCACCGAGGAGTATGAGTACGTGTTCGGAGCTGCTGATCAGATGTACCCAGGAGGCCCCATGGGAGGAGCACCTGCAGAGAGTGACTATCCGACGTATTCCCGTTCGAGGTCCAGCTTGAATACCAGCTCATCAGGCCGGGAGGCATACAGTACGGATAGCTCTGCGGAGCACGGTGGGCATTGGGTTGAGGGCGATGAGAGCCCGTCCTTGTTGTATACTGACAGAAGTAATCAGCAGTTGAGCAGTAAGTTAACAGACCAGTATAGGCAGTTAGATAGGAGCGGACATGACCCTGGAGAAACCAGGGGCGGTGTCTTATTGAGAAGACCATCTAGGGACAGGACCGCCCAAGCATTTTATTGATGTGCAGGGTTTGGGCTGTAGAGAAATAATGTAATGTCGCCTGTAATATTATCTCGCTGCAATGTGTAAAAAGAGAGGAGAAATGTGGTAGTCCATAGAAGTTAAATGTCTAACTTGATGACATAATCCCGAGGAACCTGAAACAAACTTTGCATTTTCCATGGGATCGACATAGTAGTAGATCATAAGATCAATCCAAAAGTTTATTAGAGCAATTCCAGCAGCACACCTACTCCCAATTTAGGTAATGGAGGCTAAAAAATCAACTCTAGCAGGCCTTCTACCACATCCCTAGATTTGTTGACTTCCTATTTTTTCCAACTACCTATTTCTGTTGGCCTCCTACAGTCTATTACCTATTTCTGTTCTTCTATAGTCCTATTCTGGACTATCCAAATTTTTTTCTCTGATTCTTCTTCACCCCACGACTCCACTCGCGTGACCTGCATGACATGCTCAACGACTCCACTGGCGTTTGCCTAGCCACCGCATCGATGGTCGACGATCGGCCACCGGCGGCCGCTCAGCCGATGCCGCTCGCCCAGTCACCGTCCGCTCAGGCGCCAGCCTAGCTATTGACGGATCTAGGGCGCGGCCTGCCCTACCTAGCGCGACCCTGCCCCGGCGCGGGCGCACCTCCACCTTGCCTCTGCTCCAGCGCCGACGCCCGCCTCGACACTGCCGGCGCATCTCCCTGGCGTCTATGGCGAGAAGAACATGAGAGAGGATGACATGGGTCGCACATGTTGTTTTCTGCTATGATAGTTTTGGAAGGTCTATTTTATGTAGTACTACCGGAGAAAAACAAAGGTAGTGTTGAAATAGGTGGCTCACCAAATTAAGAAGGGCCTAATTTAGATAACACCGTTGGACGTGCTCTTAGACACCGGCTATGGAATCTGTGGGACTAAGCCTATTTGGTTACCAGCGAGTGCCGGCCACGCCAAAGATGTGGCAATGTGCGGCGCGCCGCCCTGGTGGCATGAATTTTAGCCGCCACACTCTGTGGCAACTTTTGTACTCAGATTTTTTTTTGGCAGCTTCGTTTTGCGTGGCGAGCCACACTGTAGCGTGGCGTACTACGGCGAGCAACCAAACACTCCCAAAGCTCTGGGTTCGTAGCCCTGCAGCCGCATTAATTGCATGGGCCAGGTGATGGCCAGGACCAGTATATCGGATAAGGTGATACTGTCGACCGTTGGGGCCTACTATCTGCTGGTTCTGGTTGGCTTAATGCATCACGTGCTTGTTGATAGCCATTGTTGAGCTTGTGGACACCCAGTGACCCAAAAACCATAATTTCTAGCTAGTTCAGGTTGGCACACTTACCATGTTCGCTGGTTAGTTTCAGCCAGGTTTATTCAATCAGGCAACAGTTTTTTTTTCTCAAAAAAACCAGCACCAACCAACCTAAATCAACCCATATAACAACCAGCGAACAGGCCTACTATCGGATGTCGATCGCCGATCGATGACAGAGAACGACAGTGATCGGAGCACACGAATGACGACGTAAGAAAATGGATAGACATGAGATAAGTAGCACGGTTATTCAGAAGCGAGTCACCGAACTCAGGTTCGTTGCTGGAGTGACGAGAGTCCTTATAAGCAAAGGTACACCATACTGTATAGAGCATCTCCAAAAGTATCCTGTATGTTATTCTCCAAAATATGGTGTTTGCCAACTCTCAAATAAAATATGGAGAGGAATAAAAGAGGCTATCTTCAAGAATACTCTATATTTAACTTCCAAAATATTAAAATTGTAGACCCACGCACTAATTTACGGCGTGTTTTTTTTTCCGTCACGAGGTCGCGACCCCCGTTGCATCTAGGTCACCACCGCTCGCCTTCACCCTTCTGCTATACAGGAAAATCAGACCACGCTCTGAATGTCTCGTGGTAGTTCCAACTCACCCTAGCCGATATGGATACCGAGCGAGTGCACGATGTGGGACGCGTGGCCGCCGCCTCTTCGCGGAGAGCAGGAGCTGTTGCCCCGGAGGCGCACCACCTCCGCGTGTTCTGGCTCGCCACCGCCCTCGGCGCCGCGCTCTTCTCTGCCTCGGCGGTGGTGGTTCGCGGCGCGGACGGCTGGCTGCTCTTCCCGATGACATCCTCGCCTTCGCTGGTCTACTCGTCTCGCTACCTCTGGCACACGTAGCGGTCGCTGGCTTCATCGGCCATGGCACCAGGGAACAAGACCCTGAACCAAGCATACCGCCCCGGAGGATCTCCCCTCATCGCCGTACGCCGCCGCTTAGTTCCTCTCGCGCGCGACCTTCAGTTGGATCAACTCCCTCATCAACCAGGGCTACGCAGCAGAGTCCCTCAAAACCGAAGACGCGTGCCCCGTCTCTCTGGCCACCGCGCGGTAGGCGGCGACGCGCTATTCATGTCCAATTGACCGCGCGCCGCGGGAGTCGCACCGGTTGGCGTGGCACTCTGGTGGTCAGTTTTTCCGGCGCAGCTTGTCCGATTGCGTTTCTTGGCCTCACACGCCTAGGTGCCTTGTACGTCGGCCCGTCGCTCATCGACCGGTTCGTCGAGTTCATCCGCCGCGGTAGACTCGCCGAGGAGGTTGATCGCCGCCGTCTCCACCCGCGAGTACAGCACGAAGCCGGAGGTCAGACGTGTTGTAGGTCGGAGCCTTCGCGATGGCGCGAAGGAGAGGAGGTGCGGGAAAGAGTCGCGGTGCCACGCGGGAAGGAGGCGGCGCGGTGAAGAGCGGACGCGCGCGAGAAGGCTACGCGTATTTTTACGCACGATGCCGGTCTTTTGCCAATTACCAAAAGATGGAGAAATGATATGGGATCCTCCTAGAGATGAGTTTTTCTCTCTCTTTTTTTAAAAAAAGGGAAATGCTATGCTCCAGGCGCCTGAGAATTTAGTTATTGCTCAGGCGACCAACCTGGAACGTCCATTTCTGATCGAACAGGTCATAGATCGTCTTCTTCGGTCGGGCACCGGTGACATATTCGATCGCCTGGTAAGTAATCTAATTTCAGGCATCTGACCTTTAGGAGGTGTGAAAAAAAATAAGAAAAAGATATACGGGGATCTCTTGGAGATGCTCTGCAAAGTTCCCAGCGGTTCCTCAAAATTCAGCTACAAACGATCATTAGCGGCGTACGTGGTGGTGACTCCAGGAGTCCAGGTTCAATTCAGATCACCCGATCACGGCTGAAACGCCCGTACGAGCCACTGTGATGACGTACGGTCCAAGGCTCCACGCTGAATTCCTGTACCCAGCTCCTCCCCGAGCGAGCCGTACACGCCTTGCCGCGCATGCAGCGCTCTCGTTCCGATCCCGTTCGCGTCCCGCGTCCCGACTCCCTCCCGGACCAGCACTAGCACAGGACGCTCCTCCGGCGGCCCGCACGCCAAACGCCCGAACCGCCTGATGCCCACCGCGCGCGCGCCCCGCGCATCTGCCATGGCCATGCGTGCACACCCGCGCGCTTTGCCTTTGCGGCGCCGGCCGCGCGCAAATTAAACACGCGAAATTAACGGCCATGATGTGCTCCTTCAACACGCTTGGTATCGATCGATCAGTCCGTGCCCACGCCGGTTGCGCGTCGCCGGCACATGGAGCAGCGCGCGCGAGGTCGCCGTGGCCAGCTCCCACCTATATCTTGCCGTGCCGTCAAAGGATGCGGCGGCGGTGGCCCGGCCGTCCGGCCGGTAGATGATCAGTCCGAATCGATGGCTCCGCGCTCTTCGACTGATCTGTTTTTACACCAAAGCGTCAACCTCACCGGCTGGCCGGCCGGAAGACACGTAGCCTCGCCCTCGCGCGTACGAACATGGATGCATGGCGAATGTACAGCAGTCTATCCAGGAGCCACCCACCACCACCCGTGGGGGTCTCAGTCAATATTAGGGCAAAAGAGGCAAGCAAGCCGTGATCGTGAATTCGTGAGATGTCAAAAGATTACGAGATCAAAAGCAGCAGGGCCCAGTCGCAGCCACGTATTATCATTCGCCGCCCCGGATCCGGTGGCCAATCCTGTCTGCATGCCCCTCCCGTTTATCCTCTATTCCATTCCCGGCTTTATATCTCGCCGACCGGCTCTAAAATCCAAAAGAAATCCAGTCGAGCGTCCAGCTGCCAATGGCTCATCTCACTTTTAATGTCCCATAACATAAATCGTCCCACCCCGTCCCGCGAAATTAAAATTAAGGCCACGTTTAGTTCATCCAAATTCGAATTTTATTTGGTAAAAGAAGATTCAAACACGTGACTAATCAGATACTTCAAAGCGTTAGTATTAAATGTTGACAAAATCAAAAATAATTGTGTAATTAGTTTTTCTTTATGAGATTCTATATTTAACGCAATTAGTCGATAATTGAACCGCAAATATTTGATAAAATAAAACGTGTAGTAACTTTTTAAAAGTTGAGGTAGAACTAAGACGTAAATCGTCCCACCCCGTCCCGTCCCTTAAAAACTAAGACGGACCCATCCCATCATCATGTCTCTCAACCATACGATACCTTACACGCTGCGCCCGAGCAGTAGGTCTACAGCTAGCTGCTACTGCTGAGCCCCGCCTCTCGCCGTCTGACACGTCGCTATCGCTATCGTTTGCCGCGGCGGCATGGACCGGGAGGAGGGCCTTTACGGAGGCCGCGGCGACGGCGGCAGGCTCCTGGTGGTCCAAGACCTCCATCAGCCGATGGAGTGCTTCTCCGACGAGGTGAACAGCCGAAACTGCGGCGAGGAGGAGGAGGAGGAGGCGAACGACGGGCCCAGCGACGGGGCAGCAGGAGGAGTCGACGGGCCGGCGAGCGTCGAGGCCGGGGCGAAGCGGAGGCGGGGGCGGCCGCCGGGGTCCAAGAACAAGCCGAAGCCGCCGCCGGTGGTCACGCGGGACGTGGAGCCCGCGGTGGCCATGCGCCCCCACGTGCTCGAGATCCCCAGCGGCGGCGACGTCGCGCGCGCGCTCGCGGGCTTCGCGCGCCGCCGCGGCCTCGGGATCTGCGTGCTCGCGGGCACGGGCGCCGTCGCCGACGTCTCGCTCCGCCACCAGGCGGCGTCGTCCGCAGACGGAGGAGCTGCCGCGGTCGTCGTCTTCCGCGGCCGGTACGAGATCCTCTCCATCTCGGCCACCTTCCTGGCGCCGTCCATGTCCGCGGCGGTGCCCCGCGCCGCCGCCGCCGTCTGCAGGGACCTCTCGATATCGCTCGCCGGCCCGCACGGCCAGATCGTCGGGGGCGCTGTGGTGGGCCCTCTCGTCGCCGCCACCACCGTCGTTGTTCTGGCTGCCGCTTTCACCGACCTTACCTTCCACCGCCTCCCCGTCGAGGAGGACGCGTCAGCAGCGTCCGTCTCCGGCAGTGGCGCCGAAACCGACGAACACCGTCACCGTGGGCACGGGCATCAGCAGCCACAGGAGCATCACGACGCGAGCGGGTTGCACCCGCAGACCATGTTGGCTCCGGCGGCGACTCAGCCGGTGCCCTTGTACGCGCGCCAGTCCCAAGAGTTGTGGCCGCCGGCGGCAAGTGCAGAGCGCCCACGCCCGCCGTATCAATAGCGGCCCCGAGCCTCCGACAACACAATGGTTTTTTTCTTGACATCAGAGTCTGCTCGATCCGTCGTAACTATACATCTGATTGTTTCGTTCTGCCTAATTTGTATCGAGACATTTGATGATCTGGCTAGTGTTAGGGTTTTTTAGTATCTCATACATTGATGCTCTAGCTAGTTGTCACTACGTACTACTTTTAATTTGTTAGGCCTTGTTTAGATACCTTTAAAATTTAAGTTTTTTCACTCTCTCTTCATCACATTAATTTTTAGCTGTTTGTATGGAGCATTAAATGTAGGTAAAAAAATAACTAATTGCATAGTTTAGTTGGAAATCACGAGATGAATCTTTTGAGCTTAGTTGGTCTACGATTGGACAATATTTATCAAATAAGACGAAAATACTACTATTTATCGGGTTGAAATTTTTTTCAATCTAAACAAAGCCTTAGGGTTCAACGTTTCTGTTTACGTAATGAGTTGACATATCTGATGCCAATGGCGGTATCAAGACATGCAAATGACAGTGTGATTTACTTAAGAGTTTGTTAGGGTAGCAGGTAGTAGGGCAATAGGGCTGGGGTTTTCTAGGTTTGGCCTCATTCGCTTGTCTTAAATTTGGTTTTTTCGGTTTATTTTTTTAGCCGGAACAATATTTTTCTCTCACAACAATTCAGTCGGAACAGTATTTTTTCAGCAGTTTCAGCTAAAGTTCAGACCAGCGAACGGGGCTTTTGTTTGTTTGCGGAGCTTATTTTTGTACTCGTATCCATCTCAAATTCATCATCCGCATATATATGTTAAACAGATTGCGGTATAAGTTAATTTAAATTTCACCTAATCTATTTTAACATACGTGAATTAAGCTGGATATAAATGCATCTAAATAAGCATAGATGGTAAAAGGTAGATGGCACCGGACATGAGGCAAGGTGGTAGGGTGCCACCTTCATTAGAGGTTGTAGGTTGGGCCGGGATGGTAGTAGAAGCGTCGCGATACGAGTGGTCATATAGTTGGTAGCGGCTTTGATGACATAGGTCCGATTGATTGCATGTACTGTATTAAGCTTAGTCTGTATTAGACTTTATGCAGCAAAACCTAAGTCAACATAAATATATGTAGCGTCTTCGTGTTTGATTATTTTGTATAGGCAAGGCACATATGATAAAATTGTGTTTGTTTATTTACATTTTATTTGCATACATATAGTTACATTATATGTTCTACTCTCTTCGTCGGTGAATAAATCAATTCCTAGAGTTGTTTTAATCGACACTTTATTATGTTTGATCGAATTTATAGACAATCTAGGAATTGATTTATTCATGGATTGAGAGACTATGAGAGGTTTTATGTTGACTTGTTTACATTTGACTGGATTTATAGACAATCTAGGAATTGATTTATTCATGGAGGAGGGGAGTATTACATGTTTTATGTTTCTAGTAAAGGTATAGGATGTAATAATACAGAAAAAACCAATCATAATAGTTAACGGGGTTGAATTGTACGTGGAGAAGTTAAGAGTTGGGAAGCTATGTATGAGCCGTTGGATTAAATAAAATCAAATGTATATAAATTCGATAGATCTTTGGATCCAAAATCTATCAAGATGTCTAAGGTACCGTTTGTTTCCTTAGGGATTTCTAAGAATCTGGATTAAAAAAACTGATGTGTTTTATTGGGTTTTGTGCCTGTATGTTAAAATTCTCTAGAATATGAACTGTTTGGGGATAACATATTCAACATGTTCACTTGTTGGTTTCAGTCAAGACTTATCAGCCATGGTACAACGTTTTTCTCCCACAACAAACCATCACCGGCCGGGCTTATCAGCTCAGAAACCAATCAGCGATCAGTCTGATTGATATTTCTGAGATTTTTTATCTGGATTATTAAAATTCTGTGGTATTTAAACAGGGCCTAAGCCTAACGTGACCCTTTACTTAATCCTATTTTCTGATAGTCGTCGAAGTATCTATGCAGATGGGTGATTAGGCTGCTAGACTTCTAGTAGAGTGTGATGAATTAAGGTCTCGGGTGATTCCGTGAGACCGTGATGAGCTTGGGGAGGTAGTCTTAGGCGATAGGAGAACAATAGTGGCGGCAAACAAGGGAGGTAGAAGAATGTCCTAGCATCGGGTTATTAATATTAGCAAGCTAGCGATCGGTGGTGATAGATGTAGCATCAAGAGTCGTCGTTCAAGATTGAGGTTAGGGAACCAGAGAGCGGACACGTCGTCGTGTTTGGCCGGTGCTTTGGCAAGATCCTATATATCCTCTGCTTGCGGCAGCCTCTCTATCACGCTGTTACGGACACCATCCGTAATGGTAGCTTATCACTGGTATTTTTCTCTCTAAGCCCTTGTTTAGTTTCATCTCAAAATTCCAAAAAGTACTACAGTACTTGTCTCATCGAATGTTTACGGATTAAATATAGATAAAAAAAAAACTAATTGCACAGTTTGATAAGAAATTACGAGACAAATGTTTTGAACCTAATTAATTCATATTTAAACATTAATTACTAAATAAAAATGAACATGCTACAGTAACCCTAAATTCCAAATTTCTAGAACTAAACACGCGCTAAGCTTAGCTCTTCTCGTCTCCAGACCGGCGGACCCTAGTTTTTTTTTACCATTCAGACCCTAGAAAATGTAACTATACATAGATCGCAAATATCCTGGATTTTTCTGACGATTGCAGGATAGTAAATAATTATTTTATTTGGAGTTATGACATTTGCCCTTGTTTAGACAAAATTTACATTTCACGTCACATCGAATCTTGCAGATGCGTGCGTGGAGCATTAAACCGAAAATAAAAACTAACCGATGGTGACAGGCGAACATTTTGAGTCTAATTAGTCCATGATTGAACACTAATTACCAAATAAAAACGAAATTGCTACAGTAGCCAAATTTCGCACTTTTCGCGAACTAAACGCGCGCTTACATTTCACTGTACGTACCGACTACCGATGGTGACAGGCCTGACGTCCCAGCCTATCTCTGATCTCTTCGTCAGATATGTGCGGATATGGTGACAGGACAGGCGGCCATGCATGCATGGCAGCACGACAGGATAAGTGCATGAACCTGATGGATCCGGTCCGGCCTGACTTCCGGCCGGGAAGAAGCCATTGAGGCCCTCAAAATCCAAAAATTTTCAAGATTTCCGGATCAGATCGAATCTTGCGACATATATATAGAGTATTAAATATAAATAAAAAAATAATTAATTATATAGTTTGTTATAATTGGTGAGACAAATATTTTAAGTTTAAATAATTCATAATTAGATATTTTTTTGCCAAATACAAACGAAAGTGCTACAGTGTTCGTTTATTTTCCAAACTGGATGGATCTAAACCTGAACAAACATGCAACATGCAAAGGTTGTGCCAGTGCACGTTGCGCCTTCACACTTTCGCTTTCACGGCCTTCGCTCAGCTGGAAATCTCTCACCCAGGGTCACGCCGGGAATCGTCAGCCGTGCCGTAGAGCAGCGGCGCGCTGTGCTTTCCGGCTTTCCGCGCGTACAGACGGACCGGGGCTGTTTGGTTTGAGCCCTGGACTGGGGAGCTGCACCCAGACACATGCAATCGACCCCAGGCGTCCAAAACCTAACGCCTGGGATGTATGCCTGTGCCAGACAGATTTGCCAGGGCGTGAACCAAACTAGACGTGGAATGCATGGCTATTTTCCCCACCTCCGTCCTCTCGTCCATTCCATGCGTTTATGAATGGGATATTTAACTTTTTACTATTACGACGGAGGTCGTCTCTTCGGATAAGCGCTCTTAAAATTATTTCTACATATTTATCATCGAAAGAAAGCATTTGATACATTTTTACCATTTTCGCTGACGTGGCACGCCAACTCAACCTGACAGCATAGGCCGACCACGGGAAATGACATTTTTATCCCTCATCTATTTCTTCTATCTCTATCCCTTCCTCGCTCGAGCTCCGGCCATGGCCGACGATGGGATCCATGGCGGTGGCTGACAGGACATAGGGGAAGTTGGGAGCGAGGCGTCGGGGCCACGGCCTGCGTAAGTCCACGGTCGCGCCCGACGCCGCCGACGAACATGGCGGCACCTAGAGCACGCGTAGGAGCACGACCTCCTCGGCGTCGGTGACGAACATGGCGGCCCCGTGCCTCCTCTGCTTTCTCGCCGGTGGAGGACGCGCATCCCGACCCACGACGAGCGCGCGCCGCGTCTCTTCGTCGCGTGATCGCTTTGCGGTACTGTGAACCCGGCTTCCCCGCCGGCGACAAACATGGTGGCACCTCGCCGGACTTAGAGCTTCGCGCGGCGGCGAGAGGGAGGCCGGACCTCGCAGCGCCCGGGGATGGGGGGGGGCAGCGACCGAAAGGGGAGGAGCTGGACCTCGCGCGGCCGACCATGGGGGAGGCACGCCGGGATGGGGACGCACTGCAGCTGTAGAGCCCTCTCGCCATGACAGAGCCACGCTGGCGGATCTCGTACTGCGTTAGCCATCTGAGCAAAGACTACTAGGCTGGGGTGGTGCGCAGACCTCGTGCTCGCCGGCTTCATCTGCTGCTGCTCTGGGAGGGAGGATGAGGCGGAGCTGAGAGGCGTGGAGGCCGAGATGCATCTTTACCGAGCGATGAGGATGAGACGGACGAAGAAGAAATAGATGAGGAGTAACAAAGTCATTTTGTATCCCATGGAGGCTTCCCTACATGTCCTGCCATGTATGCAAAAATGGTTTAAAGTTATGAATTCTTTTCTCTAGATGGTAAATATGTAGAAACAATTTTAAAAATGCTATTTAAAGAGATGACATCTATTATAATGGTAAAAAGTTAAATTGAATGAATGGAGGTCACAGTATACCACCCAGCTCCTCTATGCATGGGTGCAACCACGCAGCCGTTCGTTTCAGCTGGATGCGCGCCACAGGAGTCCAACGGAGGAAACCCCTGCAGGGCGGGAGAACGATCGAAGTGTCGCGGTGCCGAAGCAAAGAGACCTCTCAGCTCTCAAGGAGAGTCAAGGGTTGGGTTCGCCGACGATGCTGCGACTGCGAGCGACAACGCGCAGCTTTCGGAAAGCCTGGGATGGATGGGATGGGATGGGATGGGATGGGATGGGACGGATCGCGATGTTGATATAACCGATAGTACGTTGCAGTAGCGGCTACAGTCCCCGCGCGTCGCGTGCTGTCTCGGCTTTCCAAGGAAGGCTCCGATGATCCGATCCATTCTTTGCTTTCACGGCTTTCTAGTCTACTGCCTGCCTGCACTTCCCGCTGCCTGTGGCCCGTATGTTTCCTTCCCTCGCTTGTCTGTGTGTCGATAGCTTTAACTTATTTATAAAAAATACGTGCAACATTTTTATCTCTAAATAAATTTATTAAAAAATAAATTTAAATATCTATTCAATAATACTAATTATATATTATAAATAATAATATTTTTTAATATATATTTAATCATTCTTAAAAAGCCAAAACAATCATTTGGGACGGAGTGAGTACCTGTGAGCGACTCCGGTGTTAACATGCCCATGCGCATATATATGCGATGGCTTCTCAAGCATTGCTGCTAACTAGTACTGTACTCCCTTCATCGTTCAAAAGAAAGGTGTCGAGGAGCCATCCTAGTACAAGTTTTCAGCTCATCAACTAAGGCCTTGTTTAGATTGAAAAAAATTTCAACCCGATGAATAGTAGCACTTTCATCTTATTTGGTAAATATTGTCCAATCGTGGATCAACTAAGCTCAAAAGATTTATCTCGTGATTTCCAACTAAACTGTGTAATTAGTTATTTTTTTTATCTATATTTAATGCTCCATACAAACGGCTAAAAATTGATGTGATGGAGAGAGAGCGAAAAAACTTGGAATTTTGAGGGTATCTAAACAAGGCCTAAATGTTACACTCAAAGCAGGGATAAGAGAATACCAAACGGAAGACAATAAAATATAAAAACAAATTCTATTATTATTTTCACCTGTTTTTGGCAAAAAAATGTCTAATCTCTCTTCGAAATGGGAGTCTTGCTAGTGTTTTCCTTATATGAAGCTCTCTTAGGCGCCAAGTAGTAAGCTATAGTATCATTGTCAATACCGATAGGAAAAAAGACGTCTCCAACTTCCGTCAAAGTCCAATTTGCCCACAAATAGCAAAATTGTCCTGTTTCAGCTTTCAAAAATCTGTCTGAATTTGCTTTCTGTGCGGTTTGGAAATCGGTTTTAACGATGTCACGTCAGCCTGCCTTTTGGTAAATCTAACTACGTTGATAATTTAGGGAGGTCTATTAGACTTCATAAAAAAACTAAAGAGTACATTTAGAATGGATCGATGTTCTTTTGGACAAATATCCAATTAAGAATTCTAAAATATGATATGTTCTTAGAAAATTCATAAAAAAATGGTTTAACTTAGAGATTTATGAAACCAGTTTCAGCTCTTCTTTAAAATCATGCTCTACCTTATGATGCCACTTGGAATTATTTGAATCTTGTATGGTCTTATTTTGGAGTTTATTTGCTATTAGTATATGCTCTCATTATCTATTATAATTACTCTACGTTGACTCAAGCAAGCCCCACCAATTAGATACCACCGTAGCACAGAAAAACATGCTTTATTTTCTATTCCTTATTTACAAACATGCAAATGAACCCATTCAATGAGATTGTATCTATTATCATGATTTTAGGAAAAATATGAATTTAGTCCTTATCTTTTCGAGTTAGAACATATTTTCAAATAATGTTCTAAGATTGAATCATCTTTTTTTGGATTTTTAGTTGCCTATTTATTTAGAAAAATATTTGAATATTTTTTAGCACTTTTTGTCATATAATGTATAATTACCTTCTTAAACTATCAACATGCCTCATTTTATGTATCTCGTGGCTGACATGATGCTAATTCAGCCAAAATCGTTTTCAAAACCATCCTAAGAGCAATTTCAGTGTTTCGAATTTGGAGGTCAAAAAACCAGTTTTTTTTTTTTTTGGCAGAGACAAATTGCATTCCGGCTGAAGTTGAAGAGGTCAGATGGACATTTTCCGCACCAATATGGACTTTAGATTCCTCTCGCCGAAAGAACAAAACGGGCTTTAGGCATGGTATACAGCCCAACCCAACGACCTTAAGACGCGGACTGTTTCAGCCCAACCAACCGGCCTGTTTGAACCCACAAAAACTCTCCTCTCTGGACTCTTGCCACTCCACGAGCACCACCAGGCCATCCCCGTATACCCATTTCATTGTTGGTCGGAACGCAGCGCGGCGGCGGCGGCGGCGAGAGGAAGAGAGGGGAGAGTCGGCAGGACCCAGCAGGCCTAGGGAGGAGGCAGCGGCGGGCCGGAGAATATGAGCGGCAACGGCGCGAAGAAGGTGGTCGATGTGGCGGTGAAGGCCGGCAAGGCGATCGACTGGGACGGCATGGCCAAGATGCTCGTCTCCGAGGAAGCGCGCAAGGAGTTCGCCACCCTCCGCCGCACCTTTGATGACGTCAACCACCAGCTCCAGACCAAGTTCTCCCAGGTGCCCGATCCCGCTTTTCTCCTTCCCCCTGGGCTGATCTGACCTAGGGTTTCCAGATCTGGCGCCGCTCTTCCTGCGCTGACCCCTTCCTCTTGATGGATCGATCCGTTTGAGTAGTCTATGTACAAATGGCGTCATGCGGGGGTAATCGAGGCAATCGGGTCTGTTTGCTTTTGTTAGTGCGCGGGCGTTTTATATATGATTACATTACATTTTTCTTGAGCGCTTGTGGTCTCATATTGATGTAACGTTGTTTGATTCCTAGTTATATTTGTACAAATTAGGATAGCTCCCAGATAGCTGTTAGTTGAAATTCAGTGCCAGCTATGCTGCATTTTCACTTTGTGGTCATTGTTTCTTTAGTTTTAGTATTGATCGGTAATGAACACAGCAACTGGACACTGCTAGAACCATTGCAGTTTATCCTGTATTTGGTCAACTTTGAAACCGTGCTCAAGCCCTCCACTACCTAGGATCTGGGAAACTCTTTTGTTATGAGAAGATTCCGTTCAGTTTCTGATGAGAGAAGATGGAGGCATTGCATTTGAATAATTGAGTGATTTCAGAGAAAATACCTATTCTATAAAATATAGAAGGACAACTTTTTTTGAGACCAAAGAGGGCCATTTTTGGCTTCATATGTGAACAAAGTGTTGGCTTTTCTGCTCAAACGGTTTGTTTTAGCCTTCTGAGTTGTAAGTTTTATATTATTCAAACTGCAATTACATATGCCTTGGTAGGCTGCAAGCTTCCTTTGAGATAAGATCAGTATGGAGTTGATTGAGTGATATCTCTTGTCACGTTGGATGCTTTTCTTCTTGTTCCTTTGCTACACTATCTTGAAAGTTCTTGGGGGGCAGCTGAGAAATGCAATATCCCTCAAACTTGCTGTTAGAGTACGTCATGAGCCTATTGGGCCTGGGCTGGCGGTATAGCCCGCTAGTGTTAGGGTTAATTAGAGATAAGGGTCGCTTGCTTAAGGGTCAAGTAAGCCTTGCTTGGGAGTCAAGTAAACCTCTCTATATAAGGAGAGGAGATGTATTAATCTAATCAAGCAAGCATTAAGAAGGAAATCCCTTCCCTCTTGCTCGGCCGTGGGCAAGGCCCCCGTCCGGCCTCCGGCCTCCCTCGCAGCCCCAGACGCCACAATTATGGTCGTGAAACAGTGCCCGCTTTACTGTAGCACCGCGGGTACTGTATCCCGCCCGACGCCACCTCTCCCTCTCAATCCTAGCAGCCACATAACACTTGCAGTACTGTATCTTCCACACGTATTAGTTCTATATCCTAGATCAATAGATCTGTGTGTTCTCTAAATCTTGTACTTATTTTATTTTTGTAGGAACCCCAACCGATTGATTGGGAGTACTACAGAAAAGGAATTGGATCAAAAGTGGTGGATATGTACAAAGAGGCTTATGAAAGTAAGTATCCTTGTACGACAAACCTAATTTCAATTATCGAATCTAAAAGGTGTGTTTTCTGTGAACATCAAGGATATTCTAAAGTGTTTGTTGTACTTTGTTGATTATCTTGTTTTTGCATTGTGCAAAATTTTCTGGTCTGTTGATTTTCAAGCTCCTTTCTAGTTACTGTCCAAAGATTCATACTCATGGATATCCCATATAGATCTTTGATGCTCACAGATCAATCCACCAATGTGTTTTTGGTTTCAGCTCCTTCTGGTATAACAATCGCCTCAGTGTGTGTAAAACTATAGAGTACTGTTAGAAGGACAAGTCATTATATGTGCCTCCATTAGTCTTTCTGTTGGATACTTGTGTTGCAATATGATAGCATTTCTTTTACTACAAGCTATAGACATGTAAGGCTATGTATCATATTGTTTTTAACTTTTAATGGACCTTGGTCTATTAAAAATACATTCCTCTGTACACATACACCTCAATTTGTTGCGGCGGATGGCCTACACTAGTCCTTGGTCTATTCGCTATTGAATGTACTTCTCACGGTGATTGTTAGTCCTACATATGTCATTTTGCTTCTATATAATTCTGTTCTGTCTGCCCGCTTTCTGAGGTAGTAAACTTGAAATAAATGCAGGCATTGAGATCCCGAAGTACGTCGACACAGTTACTCCCGTGTACAAGCCAAAGTTTGATGCTCTGGTCAGCAGCTACTGCTCTCACACTGTTTTGTCTTTTTAAGTTCATTGTCTGAAAAATTGTTCTGTTTGTGTGTTTTGTATCTTGAGTTCTACCAACATTTCCTAGATGAGTGCATCCAATTTTTTTAGTTCTTTATTAACCCCTTATCGCTGATGTGCTTTTTTTTTGGTGCTTATGTTGTTACCTGTAGGTCGTTGAATTGAAGGAGGCTGAGAAAGCGTCTCTGAAGGAGTCAGAAAGGATAGAGAAGGAAATTGCTGAACTCAAGGAAATGAAGGTAGGGGATATTCTTCAGTGCTCATATAATTCCATTTTTTCCTGAATCATTTGCATGTATCGTCATTGTTAAGATAACATACCCTTTCGCTTTAATATCTTGTTTGTGCGTACAGAAAAAGATTAGTACAATGACAGCAGATGAGTACTTTGAGAAGCACCCTGAACTCAAGAAGAAATTTGACGATGAAATCCGTAACGATTACTGGGGATATTGAAGAGATTGGAGAGAACTCTTATCTTGCCATTTCCATGTCTGTGAAGAACCAATAATTTTTCTGTGCCCCGAGATGTATAGGGGAAATCTGCAATCTCAAATTGGTGGTTTCCATAGCATGTGCACGGGGTTTGGGTGGAATGCCTACAGAATTGACTGTGTCAAGCTTTCTGGAAATTCCATCAAAACATCTTTTGTTTGATCTCATCATTTTGAAGAGGATCCCAGCTTTTGTCATACAAAGATTATGATATGTTCTTAGCTCCTTTCTACTTGAATAAGGGGATTTCTGCACACCCGTTTCCTCTACTGACCTTCTGTGACGCATTGGTCTGAATCCTTAAATGTTTGTTCGGTGCAAGTGTGGCACTTGTCCTACTTTATGATTGTTAGAAAGTCGAAACTGCCGTCTTGGACATCAGCCTTCAAAACGTAATGTTTATGGATGCAAATATTAATGTATGTACTTGTGAAGGAAGAACCTACGATTCTTTGTTGAACTTAAGACATGATTTGCCCTACTTTTTTGAACGTAATGATTTGTCCTACTAAATCAAAGTGAAAATGAAAAGTGCCTCTCAGGTGCACGTGGGATTGGACATGGACTGTCCAATGTCCAACTGGACCTTTTCTTCTTGGATTGCATTGCACAAGTACCGGCCTCCAGGCTCAACACTACTCGTCGCGGGACCTGATTTTTTGTTTTTTAGCCTATTTTTTGATTTTTTTTTTACAAAATATGCTCCTGAAGGTATGCTTTTAAAATCTAGACCCTTAGCTCGGCGTCATCATTGGTGGCGTCGAGCTTACACGTCTCGGCGTCATAGATTTTAGCGTCTAGGTCTTGGGCTCAGCGCAGACATGGCGGTGACTTGGCAGGCACCTTAGCGCCGTAGATCTTGGCGCCGAGCTTGACGCTGTGGTTATTGACGCCGAGAACGGCGCCAAAATCTATGGTGCCGAGGTGATATTTTAACCCGGCGCCCAACCTTTCTACCCGAGCCTTCTTTCTCTTCTTTCTCCTCCCTCTCAGGTTTTTTCTCTCCCCACTTTGCCCTACCTCAATGAATCGGCATATTGGACCTTGAAAACTTTTGATTTGATCCGTAAATCTTCGAGAGCAAGGTATTCTCGCTCCCTCCTAGTTTTTTTTTCAAATCGATTCGGTATATATTAGTCGGATTTTTCAACTTAAGAATCGTCATTATTAGGGTCTTATATAATTTTAATATTTATATTATACAACCGTAGGATGCCAAGACGTGGAAAAGCTACCAAACCAAGGTAACCTTAGCGCAGATTGTTATGATATGGGTTCATTGTTGTGGATCAAATGGAAAACCCTAGGTGTAGGGTTTAATGTTTATTGCTTTCGGTTCTTAGAACAAAAATGACTAAATTGTAGTTATGATCGGATGACCGAAAATACCTTTGACCCATTGCCTCTGCCTAGTGGTGTTCCAGTGTCCATGTGCTTTTGCGGCGATCCTTATAAGGTAGCCAAGTCTGATGAAGAGGACACGTATAGGCAGATGTATTGGATGTGTTCCAATTTTGCGTTTGAGCCTACATTTCGTCAACGCTACATTAACAAGATGATGAGGAATTGATATTTGTGTCATATGACATCTTGCATGTTTTTTTGTTTTGTAACAATTACATGATTTTGAGCAGTGGATCGACACTAAGATCAAGCCTGAAGACAAGGAATGGATGTAGAAACGGTTGCAGTGGGAGGCAGAGGACAAGAAGATGATGGAGAAGATACGCGGAGAGGGGGCTGCAGAAAAGGAGCATAAGGAAGAGGAGGAAAGGAGGCGTGTTGCTGTGTACAGGGAGGAGAGGGAGAAGAAGCTTGAACGTGCATGCCGAGTGAAAGCAGCGATGGAGGAGAATCCCCATGCCCTGAGAAAGGGAAAGTGGTCTCGTTGCACTCAGTAGTCTCCATTACTTGCTAGTTCTATGGTTTATTTATGAACAATGTTGTCTATTGTTGGACTTTTCATTATGTTGTCATGTAATGCACTTTAAGTATGGACATGTTTAGGTCATGTACTGCGTTATTTAGTTTGTTGGCACGTACTTCTAGTATTATTATGTTATTTAATGTGTCATAGTATTGGACTTTTCATTATGTAGTTATTTTTATTATTTATGGTCATAATATTTAATTTAATATTGCGGACGTAGTGAAATATGATCACGTGCTGCAAACAAAATCTAACGAAGTAGGGCATTATATAATTTAACACACAAAAACATGAAATGACATGTGAGAACATGTACCGAACTAGGGTACAGAGGTCCTGAACTAAACCTAACATGTCTTAGGTAATTGAAGCGAACAAAAAGCACAAGAAATGACATGTGAGAACATATACCAAACAAGGGTATATAGTTCCTTTAACTAAACCTAACATGCCTTAGGTAATTAAACAAAATAATAAACACATAGATGTGCCATGTGAATAAGATAGGATCATCCTAATAGTGTGACCACATAGCAAAGTGTGTTGCACCTTCTCCACAGTAGCCTCCCATTGTTGTTGTTGGTGGTGGCGGGGTGACGGCGGAGGCCCCTTGTTCTTGTGATTAGGGCAGGTGCAATATGGATCATTGCAGAGTGCCTCCTATGAACTTGCACCATTGTTGTTGTCGTCGTCTTCGTCTTCCTTGTACCCGCTGCTAACTTCTCTTTATAGATCGAAGATTTGGTCCTGCAGATAGTAGATGTACTGTTGATGCGGATAAATTGGTCGAGGATCGACCCACCTAGTGAACCCACAGTTTTCTTCAGACTCGGAAGACTACAATAAGTATGTCCTGTAAGTTATAAGGGTATTCGAGAAACATATTTAACAAACAAAATGTAATAGCAATAACTCATGCTCACGGGCATTTGAAGAAGCGATGACCTCACGTGTGGAACCCTAACCTGGTCCCAAAGGTACGCCCACACTGGCTGTCAACGTGGAGGCTGACCTAGAAACCACTCATGACTAGCCAGAACCTCAGGACGGCCAACTGGTAGACGAGCCCACATCCATAGCTGGAGCAGGTACACGCATCCACCAAGTGACGATGAGGACAAAGTCCGACGACACGCCTCGCAAAGCTGCCGGTAAAGAAAACCCAACACTACAGAGCCCTAGCTGTACTGACCCACCTGGTCCCAGTCAGTGAGGGAGTGGACCCACATCCATGACGCAGTGTCACCCGTGGCGTCGGGGAAGAGAACGCATGCAAATAGGTGTACGATCCATGCCCTGCAGTTACCCAACTGTCTCCTCATCTGCCTCCTTGGGGACTGTGCGAACTCTTGTCGGAGCCGGGAGATTAGAACTCCAGAACTATGAGCCCCTTGCTCGCCAACCTCATGCCCAAGGAAGGCCTCTACTCGTGCTGTCTAACCTTCTGACCTGCATTGTCCATGCACTGCGTTGCCATGAATCCTTAGACCTAGCATCTTATGACAGTTCCGGAGCGTGACTGTCATCTCTCCGAAAGGCAAGTGAAAGCTATGAGTCTCCGGCCGCCACCTACATTTTAGACAAAGCAAGATTACATGTCAAAAATGCAAGCGCATGAACAAATGGCCATGAATGGAAGCAATGATTGAAGATAATACCTGTCAACCAACGCAGTTATGGCGCTGAGTTAAACTTGGGCAACCCACGATGAACCTGAAAAGAGATGACACCTAGGCTAGCTCTTTGCAAGAAAGGAGTGTATCTATTGTCGTACTGCATGTCCAAGAACCCATTGTGGGTTCTAGGATGAAGGAGCGGAAGGTCCTGCATAGAATAAAACATAGTCTCCCGTTACTTCACGAACACATGTACGCTGCACTGAAACTCGTACCTCCATCCACCAGCGTCGTGAGCTCTTGTCTATTTCTCCAAATCCCTCATCAAACCTGTGAGCCATTGTCTACCTTGTGCATTTGATACGGTTCTGACCTGCTCCAACTTTTTCTAAAAGTACTTGTTCTCAAGCTGTCGAGCAGCCTCCTGGAACAGATCAAAGTTATCCTTCACACCATCCTTCCGGAGTAGATTCTCGGCAAGGTGCCGAGTACACCAACGATGGTGCAAAGGTGCATACCCCTCTATCTGCTCTCGCACGACATTAAGTATGCCCTAGTGCCTATCAGATATGACGCCAACCTCCCTACCAGGCCCAACCATATATATCCGAACTACACTCAAGAACCATCCCCAACTGTCATTATTCTCCTTCTCAACCAAAGCAAATGCCAAAGGAACCAACTTATTGTTCACGTCACAGGATATGGCTATAAGAAGTGTGCCCTGGTATTTGCCAATCAAGAACGTACCATCAATGGAGAAAACGGGATAATAGTGTGGCAGAACCGCCTAATCTAATGCCTGCCATGAATACTTGTCTTCCATTAGACACTAAGTACTCAAGGGATGACACCATATTCCGCAGTTCTGTCGAGCACACCCCAGGGGAGAACTCAAAAATCCACATTTTTCCATCAGGATCACAAATGAGAGAATAAATCTTACATCATTATTAGCCATTTCTTACATCACTTTTCATGCAAGATCAGAGGATAATACTTATTGTTATAACAATGAAATATGAACACGTTATCAGAGTTATGAACAATTTAATTTAACAGCGGAATATAAACATATGATCAGAATTACATCGGAAATAAATATTTATTCATGACATGATGAAGCATTGATATATAAACTATGACAGCAGATTATAAAACTTCTATTTATAAAAAAACATTTAGTGAGAGTTATAAATAAAACTATGATTGCAACGTAAAGGAATCATCTCTGAGCCCACCAGGAGGAATTCACACCCAAGAGTCAGCTCTAGCATTCGCCTGTCACCTGCAACAAGGGGAAATAAAACCCTGAGTACTCAATTGTACTCAACAAGACTTACCCGATAGGAGGAAAGAACAGACTCTAAGAAAATGCAAGGCTATCTGGCTTGTGGGTTTATTGCATATGTAGG